AAGTATATATCCAGTACATTATTATTCAAAATGTTGGGTCTCTTTTGGTTTGGACTCATCGGTGTTTGAATATTAAGTTTATACTTTAAAATCTCATATTGTAAATTGCTTTAAGTTATGCAATTTATTTGGAATATATGAGTTTAATGTTTAATTTTATGCATGTTCGTCCTAAGCATAATATTATGTTTTAAATTATGCAATTTTATTATGCCTTTAGCAATGCATTCTTTGAGATGGAATTATATTAGTTCCTATTTAAGTTGGACTTATGCATAAACTTTAGTCGCGGTAGTGCCTGAATTTAAGCACGTTTAGTCCGCTAGCTTTAATCATAGGTGAACCCTACAATTTTCTGGTGTATACCCTACAGTTTTAGGTTTATACCCCCAAACAGTTATACATTAAGTATATATGAATCAGGGAGACATACTATTTTTAATGGCCATGACTTAAGAACGTCTTGTGCCACTAGTCTCCTTAAATTGATACTCTATTTAAGGAATTGGTTTTCAGTGAGACTTAGTCTCTAACCACCTTTCCTTGGTGTATATTCAGTTTTTCCCATCACAATTTGGTATAATTTGTTTGTCAAAATTTTAAGTATTCCTTGCCAATGTGATTTGATTTCGGTTCATTAAAGAATAGCAAAAGCATCTTTAATTTACTGAAGTCTCTTAAGTTTTCAATCTTGGTTAATTAAGGAATAGCTACAGCATATTCAGTTACCTAAGATTGTTAAGTTTCAATCACATAAAGTGTAGGCAATGAATTGATAATTGTCTAGTGATCTTATAATTTTAATTTGATTTTGGAGTAGCCACAGCATCCTTAATCTGATAAAATTATATATTAAGCGATTTATTTTGATCACATAAAGTTTTAGACATATCATTTGTGATTAATTGTATGTAATATGATGAAATTTAGCCCACAGGCAATTTCGTTATATTTGTATAATTAATCAGGATGAAATACTGGACTACGGTCATAATTTAGCCCACAGGCAATTATGTATCGGAATGTAGTTTAGTAGTTTTATCAGTGATGATAGAAATAAATTTATTTATTTACTATACGGTTATTTGTAAATAATTTTCAGTTCTATCATGAAGTTTAATTTTATGATGTAAATTTAGGTCATATTTCTTAATTTGCCCACAGGGATTAAGAAAAGGAACATGATCTCTTAAGTTTTTTATCATAATGATAGCAATGAATCTTATTGACTAAAACTTTAGCCTACAGGCAAGTTTTATGTCATTTGATTCTTCAACTCATTTGATAATAGTTTCATCATAAATAAAATTTTTCAGTTGGATCTAATTGAGTAAAACTTCAGCCCACATGCAAGTTTTATGTCACTAGATTCTTCTGGCTCTTTAGTAATTGTGAAAAATATTATCATAAGGGTTTCTTAATTGGATTTAATAGAATTAAAACTTTAGCCCACAGACAAGTTTTATGTCAATAAATCCCTTAACCCATTAGATAATAATTTTATCACAATTCTTAGAATTTATAAATTTAGTTCAATTATAATTCTAAGTTTCATGGTTTGCATTGGCAAAACATGTTATTCAGTCACTTCCCAAAATTTAGTCACTTCTATTAATTGATCCACGAATCTTGCTCGTTTCTTCGGACTAACTGTAGTAAGTTACGTGATTTGACATACCTCTTGGATTCCAATAATGTTAAAATGTATCTTTTGAGCCAAATTCTACCTTGGTTTTGAAAGATGTATTTTGTTTCTTTTAGTATGTCCAACTATGGTGGGGAAATATATCTTCATTATTTAGTTGGACTTTAATTGGAACCAAAAATTGATTATTTAATATGTCCAGCTAATGGTGGGGAATTATGTCTTCATTTGTTAGTTGGTCAATAAATCAATTATGAGTATGTATATTATTAAGTTCACTTTGTTAATTTCGCTGAAGAATATTTTAATCAGTGGGAGTGATCATTTAGAAAAAGATCATTAAGATACTCCACTAAAGCTTATGGATTTAATTGGCTTCATACATTTCAAATTGGATTGTATGTTACACAATAAGTCCATAAGATTCCACAAGTATTAATTTTGTATTTGTTTATATAAATTCATAAATTCAAATTATTGAACATTTGGTTGTGCAACATATTTATGAAAATGTTGTAACAATATTAAGGAATTTATTAGAACAAAATCATTTAACTTGTGGTGCACTGTCATTTAATAAATTCTTCAGTGATTAATAGAGTCTTTAGTTTTTGCAAAATTGATCCTGGGCCATTTTGATTTGTAAGGCTCAAAACAATTTTGTGAGACATATAAGTAAGACTTATTATGTTCAGTTCGTTTAAAGTGAACATTGAAGTTATTTGGGAAGTTATGGTGTATGATTAAGATTCCAAATTTATGGACTTAGACCTTTGGTTTATTGTCTAAGTTATTGGAATGCTTCTGTGACTTGTCTATCTTTTGGCTATTTTTGATGAGTGGGAGTGACAGACGTGTCAACTCCAAGCTCTTAGCTTTTAGAGACAGTACTTAAAGTTAACTTATAAAGAAGTCATGGAATATAGTTAGCATTATGCTAACATTAAGAGATCTCTACTTGAGGCATGCTTATAAAGTTTTAGAGATCATACAGTGTACTCTTTTGTACAATTTGGATTTGTTTTCTCCTTCAGTTGTGCACATAATGTATTTTGAGAAACATCCCTTAAGGTACCGAGAATAAACATAGGGTTTGTTCATTAAAGACCTAAGTTGGAGAATTAAAATGCATGTGATCATAATGGATACTACTCTGATTAAATAGAGGACAAGTCACTATGATTCGTGTGTTTTGTTCTTTGATGAAGGTTGTGCTAGTACTTGCACCAAGTGGGAGAATGTAAGATTTTCCCTTATAATATATATCGTATATTATATATTAGGGCCTTAATTAAGTGGTGCAAGTTGACTAGGCTTATTAAGTGGTATGGTTGGACTTAATAACTAGTAGTTGTTAGTCAACCAAACTCTGTGCCTAATATAACCTGGATTGATGGGATACAGGATTATGGATTAGACAGCACATTCAGTTACGGTACTCAGACCGCTCAGTAGATACCAATACACCATCTAGGGTTCTGAGTCAGGTCTGAGGCAAAACATGGCTGACGGTCTACCGTTAAGAGGCAACAGGAACATCAACTATGGCTGGAGATCTACACGGCTACGCTTCCGCTATCATACGAGGTTAGGTTTCTCGTATACTATGATTCATATAGTTAGACTATTGTATATCTAACAGATGTGTAATCAAGCCTTAGTCCATGAAGAAACCAGGAGAAAATTTCTAGAAGCTCAACTTTCAGAATCCAAATTGACAGTGTTTCTGCAGAATATGAGGTAGCCAAGTCAAGAATCAACGGTTTGTGCTCTCAAAGGGATAAAGAAATTGCGAATCTAAGAGATGCCTTGGGTTCAAGGGAAGCAATGTACAAGGAAACAGAATACAGATTTCGAAAACTAGAACAAGAAAAACAGGAGTTAATGGCATCTATCCCTGAAAGACTCCAGGAAGCAATCTACAAGGAAACAGAATACATATTTTGAAATATGGAAATTCTTCACTGTCAATACTCAGAAACAAGCTCAAGGCCAAAGAAGCTCAATGGGCTTCTAAAACAAGCTCAAGGCAAAAAAAATTGCCTTGCTGAATGAAGAAATCGAGAAAAGGGGTAATAAACATTAAAAAAAAATAAAAATTGAGGGGCAAGAAAACGTCCGGAGTTACTGGTTGGAGGTGCGGTTCCGCTACATCGCCGTCGGCAACGAGATCATCCCTTTGAAGCGCGACTCGGCTTCGGTGGCCGAGTACGTCCTCCTGGCGATCAGAAACATCCACATCGCGGTTTCCTCGGCGGGTTTACAAAGCGACGTCAAGGTGTCCACCTTCGTCGACATGACACTGTTGAGCCACTCGTTTCCGCCGTCCAAGGGCCGTTTCAGCAAGGATTTGGGGGCGTATGTTAAACCCATCATGGAGTCATGTCGATCTGGAACGAGGGCGGTGACCATGGCCACTCTCACTCCAGATCTGAAGGCCATGCCCGTCTCAGCCACTGGCTTCCTCGCCGGAAGCCGGTGGAGTGTTTATTATTATTATTTATATATAATATATAATATATACTTTAATAAATAAATAATAGAAATTTGTAAATAAAAATAATAATAAAATTCTTAAAAAGACACGTGTCAACCATGTGATGACTTAACCTGTTAAACAAGTCATTTTGGACTTAATTGAACAATTTTACAGATTTAAGGAATCTGAATGAAGCTTTTTTAGTTAAGGGACCCAATTGCACTATCCGATCGACTAAGGGGGCCAATTTGAGCATTTTTCCTAAATTCTGTAATTAATTAAATTTTAGTCAACTAAACTTCAAACGGAATAAATTTTGTAAACTAATTAACTAATTACCATAATATTCTAGACTAATTATTTATATATACACGGATATGAATATATAATTTCTACAATTAATTAAATTTTAGTCAACTAAACTTCACACGGAATAAATTTTTTAAACTAATTAACTAATTACCATAATATTCTAGACTAATTATTTATATATACACGGATATGAATATATAATTTCTACAATTAATTAAATTTTAGTCAACTAAACTTCACACGGAATAAATTTTATAATCTAATTAATTAATTACCATAATATTCTTTCCATAACTAATTAGTCTCACATGAAATATTTATGAATTATATATTGACAGATACCAGGACTATGTGGTCTAATGGTATCCGGGTTGGACTTCCATTTGGAAGATTATGAGTTCAAGCCTCAGTGGAGGCGTTATTGGTTCTTTGTGTTTCAGTAGGTTGAGAAAATATATGAACAGATACTACAATGTAATAGAGCCAGTAGTAACTTTGAGGAGAAAATTTAACGAGTATATATATATATATATATATATTAATTTGTCACAGAAGAGAAGTCAAAAGCTTTAATTATGTCAGAGAACTATCACAACACAGAACTCAAAAGCATTCTACAGCACAACACACGTTCCTAAAAGCACAAAGTTGATAATGTACGTTATTACTTGCCAGTGGATTCTAGAGAGTTAGCCACTGGACTAGCTAGAACAAAATGCGGACCTCAAAATTAACTAGACATGTCTTTTTGCGTTAAATATTTAAATTTTACACAGATAGATTTTGATGGTGGAAATGATGACCACCCTTTCAAGATTCACTGTTTTGCTTCCTCAGCATTATCTTTATCTCTCACCCTATGAAACAGCAGAAAAAATCCCATGTAGTTAACAAAGGAAAAAAGTGAGGAAATTAAATTCATAGTCTGGGGACCTCAGATATAGATTAACAGAATGAATTGAGCGTTCGTATGTAGTTTAAGAATGGGTTATGTGCTTACCGTGAATGATCAGGATTTTCTAGAACTTTATATTTATCCGGAGTGACCTCCATCAACCACGAGCCTGGGAAAAGATCCTGCAAGAATCCAGTATGGAGAAAACTGGATTAGTTCGTTATTGGAATTGAGGTGAGAAATGGTGAAAATTACAATCTTTTGATTAAGGCTTCTAATTACATCAATCTCCTTCTGAATAGCTCTGGGCCTTTTCTTGGGTTTTCTGGGTGGTTTGACACCGGTAATAGCAGTGAAATCAGCTTCAATCTCTTCTCTGGAGAGAGCGATTGAAAACTTACTCTTCTGCGGCTGTAGCGCTAAGTTCACTACTTTTCCGGTTCTGTCACCAGCTCGGCGACTACGCAAACTCCGCCGGCCGGCAGCAGCGGGGTTGGAATCCTCCTCTTCAGAGGGTTTCTTATCGCCATGGAGATCAGTCATCAGTTTCTCGATATCACCGTCATCAGCGACAGGGTTAATCGAAGAAATTCGTTGCACCTGATTGCTACCGTCGTGCTCATCGGGGTGAACACCGGAAGAATTGCCGAGCTTCTTGCGACGGATGTGTTTCTGGTGACCCCATTTGAGGCACGAGGGCAATGTGAAGTTGTGAAGCGGCCTAGTTGCCCGATTAGGCTCCTCTCTTTCTCTCTCAACGTTCGCAGCCATAAAGCTCCTCTCTTTCTCTCTCCGGAGTGAATGTTTTTCCCAAACAAAAGATGACGGTTACGTTTCCGAAAACTAATGGTTCTTCTCTTTCTCTCTCCAGAGTGAATGCTTTTCCCAAACAAAAGACGACGGTTACGTTTTATAGTGTCAGGCAGTGAACAAATAAGGGAAAAGGAGAAGATTGTGAGACTGATTTATTTCCTTTAAATCCCATGATTTAAGCTTTCACATTTTATATCTGATTAGCTTGACTTGTTGTCCCAATTTCCTACTTCCCATTCTTGTCTTGAATTCCTCTTCTACGTGACTAAACCACTCATTTCTTTGGGTGTATAACTAATAAGAACCAGTACACATGGACTCCAATAAGGGTCTATAGTGGGCTCATCACAAGGCCTATAACTACATCCTTAAAGCATCATTGGTGGAAGAAACAAGAAAGTCCAACAAAAATTTCATTCGATAGAGGAAAGTATTATAGTGGCTCATTTCAAGTGATATCATGGATCGAAGACAATGCTTACAAGATTCGAGGTCGAATCATTTTCAAGAAGGGGAGGATGATGCGACCCAACATAATGAAGATCCATTAAGAATACCAATTGGGTTAATCACAAGGCCCAAGTCAAAACAATTAAGGCGACTCTTTATTGGTGATGTTCAAAGATGGTGGAAATCCAAATCAAGCCCATTTGCAAAAGATGAAGAAGAACTCGAGGCTTTTTTTTTTTTTTTTTTTTTATAATTGTTTAAGTACTGATTTTGGAGATTAAATTAGGCCCAAATCAGACTTATTATTTTTGATCATCATTATTTTAAATTGTTTGGCATTAAAGAGAAAACACTAGTTTGTATTTAGAAAGGACTATATTTACTTGCTCTTTAGATTAGGTTTAGGACTCTTTTTTCCATTGTATTTAGGATTACAATGCTGCCCTATAACCTATAAATAGGGCATATCTATATCAGTTTTGGGAGGCTTTTCAATCAATAAAATTCTTAAGTTTTTCTTTACATTTGTGTAAGAAACCTTATGGCTAATTGTGGACTCAATTAGTGGCTAGTCGTGGACTCGACTAGCAAATTGATTCGTGCACTCGAATCAATCTTCCTTTCTTCGACCTTAGATTTAGGTTCGTGGACCTCGTTCTTGAATCGAAAGAAACTAGATCCGACTCTAGTTGATTGAAGATTGCATCATCGAGGTACTTGAAGCTACAATGGGATTCTTCTAAGTCTTTGAGGATTCAAGACAAAGGATTTCTCGTGAAGTTTAAGGTATTTTGATCCATCTCTATCCTTACTTTTGAGAGCATTCTTGGGACGATATTCCATCTTATTTGAATTTTAGATTAGGTTCATATCAATTTGGTATTCGGAGCTTAGGTTTATCTCATTCTTATCTTACATACTATTTTTTTTTCGTGTCTTTCATTAAAAAAAACCCCAAATTTTATTTATTTTTTTTGCTTTCTTGATTGTGTTCTTGAATCTTGATACATGTTCTTCAGTTTCTTAAAAAACAATCCCGAAAGAGTTTTCCCTTTTTACCGTCCAATATCATCTGATACCTCACACCTCCTAAGCACCATATTACCACACATTCTGTCAAGAAAACAATCACATCTCACCCTTACCAATACCCTAAGCACATTTACGCACAATCACATCGCAATCATACCATGTCCAGATTCCCACGTTCTGTGACCAGTTTCAAAGAATGACCTATATCTCGAGATCCACTGGTTCGATTTCTATGAAATTTTTATATGTTGTAGATTTCTTTTGGGACGTTCTTTTGATATATTATACACTTGCTAATTCCTTAGGGTCATTGAGATATTGATCTTCAAAGTCAGGGTTGCGTCTGTTTTTCTGGGTGATTCTTGGAATTCTTGATTCTGTTTTGAAAGGGTTGTGTGAATCCTCTTGGTCCGAATTTTTTTGTTGATATTTATAGTAATTATTTGGAGGTCACTTATGAAATAAAAATCAAAAAAATCAAGAAAGTTGAAGAATAAAAAAAGCAAAAAAGAGAAAGCTATAAAGAAGAAGAATAAGGTTGGGAAAAGAATCTGGTTGGTAGTAGAATTTTGGAAGGAAAAGGTAGGGGAAAAGTATAAGGTTGGAAGGAGTTCTTGATAGATTCCTACTTGGTTGTGGTACATCCATATCAGTTTTGGGAGGCTTTTCAATCAATAAAATTCTTAAGTTTTTCTTTACACTTGTGTAAAAAACCTTATGGCTAATTGTGGACTCAATTAGTGGCTAGTCGTTGACTCGACTAGCAAATTGATTCGTGGACTCGAATCAATCTTCCTTTCTTCAACCTTAGATTTAGGTTCGTGGACTCGTTCTTGAATCGAAGGAAACTAGATCCGACTCTAGTTGATTGAAGATTGCATCATCGAGGTACTTGAAGCTACAAAGGGTTTCTCGTGAAGTTTAAGGTATGTTGATCCATCTCTATATTTACTTTTGAGAGCATTCTTGGGACAATATTCCATCTTATTTGAATCTTGGACTAGGTTCATATCAATAACATTGCCACCCTCTAGGGAAACAACCTTGTTCTCAAGGTTGAAGTGTGGAAACTGCCCCCGGAAATTGGACACGTCCATCCATGTAGCATCATCTTTAGAGCGGCCCTCCCATTGGATTAGAATTTGGGAAACTCACTGCTATTCACGAGTCTCCATAATAGTATGCGGTGCATATCCTGGTTCCGTAACCGCCATGTCTCGGGGTAGGTCAGTAATTGGTGTATGATTGCCTGCAACTCGTCGAAGTTGTGACACATGAAATACTGGGTGGACCTTTGTAGTAGTAGGCAATGCTAATTTGTAAGCAATAGAACTGAATTTTTGGAGAACTGTGAATGGGCCATAGTAACGAGGAGCCAGCTTTTGGTTTACGCAATTGTGGAGTGTGGATTGACGGTGTGGCCGGAGCTTCAATAGAACCTTGTCCCCTACAGTAAATTCCAGATCACGCCGCTTAGTGTTTGTAACTTTTGTCATCTAATTCTGAGCCTTTTCCAAATTATAACGAAGTTGTCTAAGCATCTCGTTTCTATCCACATGTTCATCAGCAACTGCCTGGACTTTAAACTCTCCTGGTAAATGTTGTATCAATGTTAGTGGTGGTCGCCCGTACACAATTTGGAATGGGGTGAGTCCTGCAACACTATGAAAGGTGGTATTATACCAAAATTTGGCCCAATGGAAGAAGCGTCCCCATTGCTTCGGCTGTTCGGATGTCATACACCGTAGGTACTACTCAAGGCATCAGTTGAGGACTTCGGACTGACCATTAGTCTGCGGGTGGTAGGTTCTACTCATGCGCAACTTAGTGCCCCATTTATCAAAAAATTTCCTCCAAAAAGTACTTAGAAAAATTGCATCTCGATCACTGATTATCGATCTTGGTACCCCATGCAATCGAACTATCGCCTTGGCAAATATACCGGCAAGAGACCTAGCTGTGAAAGGGTGTCGTAGTCTTATAAAGTGGGCGTATTTGGTAAGCTGGTCGATGACCACCCAGATGCAATCAAATCCGTAGGAACGTGGCAGACCTGTGATGAAATCCATTGTAATGTCTTCCCATACCGTTGTTGGAATAGGGAGTGGTTGAGCAACCCGACTGGTGCTATTGTGTCATATTTATTCTTTTGACACACAGGGCATTCTTCCGCGAAGTTCTGAATTCGCTTCATCATACCTTTTCAATAAACGCTGGCAGCAAGTCGGCGGTACGTGCGATAAGCTCCGGAATGCCCCCCATTAGTGTAGCGTGAAATTCCTCTAAGAAGCGAGGAATCCAAGGTGACGTGGCTGGTAGAGCAATGCGTCCCTTATATAATAAATGTCCTTGAAGAAGTTGGAAGGGAGGGTGGTTGGTTGGGTTGCTCCGGAGCTGTTGAACGATACGGCTTAATTCAGAGTCCTTAGAAATTGCTTTATCTAATTCATCCCAATCTATCCATATTGGTAGGGACAATGCTGATATTTCGAGGTCTTCATCCTGCCAGGATAAAGCAACATTATTCAATCTCCATGGCTTATACACAACCTCAAAATCATACTCCATAAGCTTAGAGTAACAATGCCCCAATCCCTGTTCCTGATGCATCACATTCAATTATAAAAGGTTGGGAAAAATCTGGAGTTTCCAGCACAGGAGAGGTGGTTACTGCAGTTTGGAGTTCTTCAAAAGCTCTTTGTGCCGCATCAGACCATATGAATTTTTCCCTTGCTTCTTTCTTTAAAAGCACTGTGAGAGGCTGTGCTATTTTGTCGTAATCTTTAATGAACCTTCGATAATAGCCTGTGAGTCCCAAGAATCCTCGAATAACCTTGATGGATTTTGGTACGGGCCAACAAAAAACACTTGAAACCTTAGATGGGTCCATGGCCACCCCGAATTGAGAAACGATGTGGCCCAAATACTCCACAGTAGTCTACCCGAACTGACATTTTTTGAGATTAGCCTTCAGTGTATGTTCGCAGAGAGTCTCTAAAACGACTGCCAAGTGTTTTAAATGGTCCTTCCAATTCATACTGTACACCAGAATGTCGTCAAAGAATACTAAGACAAATTGACGAAGATAAGACCGGAAGATGTCATTCATTATCGCTTGAAAAGTGGTCGGTGCGTTAGTCAACCCGAACGGCATTACCAAGAACTCGTAGTGTCCAGAGTGCGTACTAAATGCTGTTTTGGCAACATCGGCTGGAGCTACTCGAATCTGGTGGTAACCGGAACGGAGGTCAAGCTTGGAAAAATACCGTGCACCATGAAGTTCATCCAACATTTCCTGTATCACTGGAATGAGATATTTATCTGGTATCGTCACCATGTTGAGTTCCCGATAGTCAACGCAAAAACGCCAACTACCATCCTTTTTCTTGACTAATAAAACAGGACTGGAAAATGGAGATGAACTGGGCTGGATGATTCCCGCAGTAAGCATGTCACCCACCAATCTTTCAATCTCATTTTTCTGATTATGG